TTGGACTTGACAACAATTCCTTCCCTCAGCAGCGCAGCTGGAGGAAATGTAGGTGGGCATGACTGCAAATTCTTGGTCTCCAACCACAGTGGGGCCTCCGCAGTTCTGCACAGGAGCTGGGCTGGCTTCCTCTTGTCAGTGGCAGTGTGGCAGTGAGTATTAGAAAGCGCTGTCATCGTCCTTATCATGAGGACTGGGGCCTCCAGGGTAAACTCCTGTTGCTCTTAAACTGTGCTCATTCTTCCTTGCCATTTTCTCAAGGGATTCCTTGCCTGAAGAACAAGGTCTTTCTCCACACCCTCACGCAACACTTCTGATGCCAGATGTGTGTGTGTGGTTTTGTTTTTTTCCCCACACCAAGCAATTCTCCAACTCTCCAAACACCAGCTGGGAGTCCTCCAATGTAACTCAATTCTGACACTACCCACCTGGAGTGAGCATCGGATCCTGCAAGCGCAGGGCTCAGTCCCACAAAACTGTCCCCAGCTTCAGAGGCCAATTGGAAGTCCAGGCCTGCTGTACTTCTGACAGATGGACCAGCTACAAATCGGGGCTTTGACCTCTGCCTTGAGTTCAATAATTTGCTAGAATGATCCATAGAACTCAGGAAGCTTATGTTTACTGTTTACTCAGGAACAGCCAGATGGAAAAGGCACTCAGGGAAGGGCATTGGGGATGGGAGGGGCAGGGAGCTCCAGTACCCCTGGGCACACCACCCTTCCAGCATCTCTGCAGGATCCACCACCCAGAGGCTCATCAAATTTTATTGTTCCAAAGTTTCTATAGGGCTTACCCTCCACTGTCTGTGCTCTTGTTCCCAGAGGTCAAGGGGTGGGGCTTAAAGTTTTAACCTCTAATCACTTGTTCTTTCTTGGGGACAGCCCCATCCTGAGGCTATCCAAGGGCTGCACCCTCCATCACCTCATTGGCATAAATTCCTACCACTCAGGAAATCCCAAGGGTTTTAGGGGCTCTGTGCCAGGCACTGGAGAGAAAGACTGAATACGTTATTACACCATACTGCCCTCCTGTCTGTCTGAGGCTTGTTCCCCAAAGTGCCCTCATTCCTACAGCTCTTCACCACTGCGGGGAGTTTCCTGCCTCATCAATTTCCCCTTTATTTGCATATGAAATCTATATTTTGCCCCAGGCTCTTTTATCTCAGCATATTACCATGGTTAAGTGTCTCTCATCTTCAAAACAATAAATAAAGTCTCACCTGACTGGTACCCCTTCTAGAGACTACCTACCTCACCCTCCATCTCAGAACAGTCTTGGCTTCCTGTCCCACCCCCTGGCCACTGTAGGGTGCAAAGGTTCTTGTCCCTCTAAGACTTGTTTAAAAAAAAAAAAACACTGATATGAGGCCGATTGATTAATAAGAGGAAGAAGATAGAAATTTTTAGTTTAACATACAACCATGGGAACCCTCAGGATAAAGATTCAATTCTTCAATGAGGTGTGGAGGTTTTTAAAGAATGGAGGCTTGAAAGCAGGAAAACAGGCTCCGGAAGGGAGAGAAGAAGAGGCTGGAGTAGCCAGGGAGGGTGGTTTTGTTTTGTAAATGGACCCGAGGGTCACAGCCCTCAGAGACAGGCCAATGGTGAATGTTTCTTTTTAGACCTTTGACGATGTCATGTTTTCAGTTAATTTTTCCTAGGTCAGGTAAGGACAGACCTGGCTGCCTTAAATGCAGATTTTCTGCAGATATAAATCCCCCCCGCCCCCCACCAGGCATGGTGGCTCATGCCTGTCATCCTAGCACTCTGGGAGGCCAAGGCCAGTGGATCACTCAAGGTCAGGAGTTGGAGACCAGCCGGAGCAAGGGCGAGATCCTGTCTCTACTAAAAATAGAAAGAAATTAATTGGCCAACTAAAAATATATAGAAAAAATTAGCCGGGCATGGTGGAGCATGCCTGTAGTCCCAGCTACTCGGGAGGCTGAGGCAGGAGGATAGCTTGAGCCCAGGAGTTTGAGGTTGCTGTGAGCTAGGCTGATACCACGGCACTCTAGCCCAGGCAACAGAAGTGAGACTGTGTCTCAAAAAAAACAAAAAAGAAACAAATGAGGTCTCTTCCCAGGATAGGGGGGCTGCCTCCATCCATCTCCTGCATGGGAGGAATGGGCCAATATGGCGTCCTGGCCATTGGTACCCATCTGTGGGGTGCACTAGGGAAGGAGGAGACAGCGTAGAGCCTGTTTCTTGCTTCTGAGGCACAGTAGCCCTCTCCACTGACGACACATTTGAAAGAAGGTCAGGGTCACACCAATGGGAAGGGGTCGGCAAAAGTCACTGTGGGCCCAGGTGAGCAAATGCGAGAGCCACGCATCTCTTCTCCAACCTTGTGGCTCCTTCTGCAGTGCCACTGTGGTTTTATTTGCCAGCTGATGTGAGTTGAACTGTGTCCCCTCAAAAGATATGTTGAAATCCTAACCCCAGATACCTGGGAGTGTGTGCCTCGTTTAGAAATAGGATCTTTGCAGATATGATCAAATTGAGCTCATGCTGGATTAGGGTAGGTCCTAACCCAAGGCCTTGTGTCCTTAGGAACAGAGGAACATTTGAGCACAGAAACAGACACAGGGGGATAATGCCATGAGACAACAGAGGCAGACATTGATTGGAATTATGCTTCCCTGAGCCAAGGAATGCCAAGGACTGCCAGGAACCACCAAAAGCTGGGAGGGAGGCTAGGAAGGGACCTTTCTAGAGACTTCAGGGAGAGCATGGCATTGCCAACACCTTCATTTTGGACTTCTAGCTTCTAGAACTGTGAGAGAATAAATTTCTGTTGTCTTAAGCCACTGTTTGTGGACCTTGGCTATGGTAGCCCTAGGCAACTAACACAGGGTTCTCTCCACGTGTTGGGAAGATTTCTCCTGAGTCAGGAAGAAGCCTGTGCTCATGTAGACAACTGGGTGTTCCCCTCTCTGCTCTCCATGCATTCTGCTCAGCATCAGTGCTCTGCTCTCTCTCTCTCTCTCTCTCTCTCTCTCTCTCTCTCAATATTTCTAGTTTTGGACCAAAGATCTTTTTATTTGACTGAGATGGCATCTGTGGTATACAAGAAATAAAGACAGGACTTGAGTCTTGATTTGCCAGTTACTGCTGTGTGTCCCCAGGAAGGCGCCACTCCTTTGGTCGGCTCCAGTTTCTTCATCTGGTTAGTGGGGGGCGTTAGTTTCTGTCTTCCTGGGTTTGAGATTCAACGAATCGGTAGGGAAAGTTTTTGGCATAGACTCAAGCTCATAAATGTCCCTTCCTTTGGAAAGCAGAAGCGAAGCAACTGCGGTTGGGCTTCTGCTTTTCCCTTGTCATTCATTTATTTGAACCGGTCAGGCTCAACTTCAGTTAATTCCTGTTATCGCCCCCACAACCTTAGAAAAACCCTTTCTGAATCCAACAGCTTTACTCAAGGCTTCTCTCTGGGCTAAAACTCCAAGGCATCTTTTGGGTCCATCCACCTCAGGGTTTATTCTAGGTCAATGTCATTTCCATTCCCTCCCCTACCTTCCTCCGGCAATAGTAGTTACATTTTCTTAAGAATTCTAAGGTTGTCCAAGCGCTTCCTGCTTGTGTGGCTGCACTGGTGTTTAGATGCTGCTCTCTGCTGGACTCTCCATACCTGGTGACTGGTCATTTTTAAAGCTTCCTAGGTAATCTCCTTTGTCTCCCAGAGTCGAACGACAACAAAACAAAGATGACAAGGACACTCGTGTAGCCAGCACCATTCTGAGAGCTTTACACACACTAACTCATTTAATAGTTGATCTTTTGCACCTCCTTTATTGCCTTGTTTCATGTGAAACAAATATTTTTTAGCATCCCATCTTAATTCCTTTCTTGATTTTTTTTTTTTAGTGTTTTGTTTTGGTTTTTAGTTATTTTCTCAGTGGTTGCTCCAGGGATTACTGTATACATCTTAACTCAGCACAATCTACTTCAGGTTAATACTGACTTAATTCAGGTAAAATATTACAACATTGCTCTCGTACACGCCCCTTCACTCCTCTTGTGCCATCATTGGCACGTATTATACATCTAGATATGATATAAACCCAGTAATATAGTGTTACAATCATTGCTTTAGAAAATCTTATTTTTTTATTAAAAAAAGGAGGAGAATAGAAAAAATATACTTGTGCATTTTGCAAATTGACTATTTGCAAACTGGCATAACTGGGAATCGAATCTATTTGTTTTTCAAAGCCAGGACTCCTTCCCAGATCTCATACAGCCTCCTATTGATGGGTCAATCTAGTCTTTTTTCATGACCAAATTATCCTAGAGGTACCACCAATGCTAGCTGGGAGATCTGATTTATTTTCCTATCACTTGCTTCACTCTAGCATTTAAAATACTTATAGTAATAAAATAATTCTTTCCTCTTTTGTTTCTCCTTCCTTTCTTCTTTCCATTCTTTTCTATTGTGGTTGGAAATATCCAGACTCTAAAATAATTTAAAGAGGTTTATTTTGAGCCAAATGTGTGTGACCGCGGCCCAGGATTCAAGTTCTCAAGAGGTCTTGAGGAAATGTAATCTTACTTTGGTTTTATGCATTTGTGGGGATAGGAATTACAGGTAAAATCATAAATCCATACATGAAAATATACTTTGGTTCTAGCCAAAAAGGTGGGACATCTCAAAGTGGACATTTACAAGTCATAGGTGTGTTTTAGGGATTCTTTAGTTGACAATTGGTTGAAAGAGCTAAGCTTTGTCTAAAGACCAGAAATCAGTGGAAAGGAATGGTTGGCTTAAGATAAGGATCTGCTAGGATGCTTGAGTTAAGATAAGGGGGTCTTCTAGCTCCCCTATGATGCTGTACTAGAACCAGGTTGGGAAATAAACCACATTATATCAGGTTAACAGAAACTGTTTAGTGAGATTTTATCATTTGTAGACATGACTCATCAGGCCTCTCAGAAAGGAATTTGGGCAAAAGAGAAAGGTCAGAGTTCAGTTACCCACGTATTGACTATTTTTGGCGCTCTTACCTATGGACCACACGCAGTATCTCCCTAGCAGAGACCGAGGTGGAGGAGAGACAGCGTCTCCCCTGTTCTTCCTGTCCTGTGCCTCTACTAGCCCTGGTGGGGTGTCTTTCATGTTAGCATTCACTCTGATCTCTTTGAAGGGTTGGCAGTATGTTCCTCTATTTGGAGAGGATTTCCTTGTTTTTATCCAATGGTAACAATTTAAAATAAAGAGAAGTAAGCCCTGTGGTCAGACGTGCAGGAAGTTAATTCATTCAATTATGTGTTCAATGTAGTCATTGTGTCTCATTGTAATCATGTATTCATTATGTGCCAAGCACTGGGTCAGCCACTGGGGGTACAAGATGAATTAGACCAATGTCAACTCGCAGGGGCTCACAGGCTTGGGGTTTGAGTGGGCTAGATTTTCCTTATGGCCCTATCACTCTGTGACACTAAAACCTTTTCTTCCCCCCATGTTCTGGATAAGGTCTGATAGTCTTCAGACGGTACCCTAGGTGGTTACCACTAGTCAGTTAGAACTAGCTCATAAGATGGAAAATGTTTGTTCTCCTTGTCCAACCTCTTGATTTTTTAATTGGAGAAACTGAGGCTCTTGATGAACAAGCAATGTTACAATACTAGTCTCCTTTGAATATATATAATTTTTGAAACAGGGTGTCACTGTGTCACCCAAGCTGGAGTGATCAAAGCTCACTGCAGCCTCAAACTCCTGGGCTCAAGTGATCCTCCCATCTTGGCTTTCCAAAGTGTTGGGATTACACCAAAGTGTTCCAAAGTGTTGTAAGCCACCATGCCTGGTCATCTCTGAATCTTTAGCAGTTTATAAGATGTGGACTGGCAATGACCACAGTACTCTGCATTGGTTGGATTCCTATTAAAAGGTTATGAAAGAACGGCATTCCATGTCCTACCGTGACTCCAAGACAGAAATGTACGCCCACAGTCCTGAAATAGCAGGTAGTCCCAGGTCACATCTGGAAGGTCTATATGCTAAGATCACCCAGCGGATCAGTCACCAGTGCTCTCTGTTTGGTGCAGCAGGCCAATCTGGGACTCCAATGTCTTTTCCCCAGGCCAAGAACTAAGCTGAGCTTGGACTCGGAAGAGAAAAGCAGGGGACACTGGTGAGGAAGGAGCATGCTCTGCCTGTGTCTTCTCTGGCCACTTTCTCTTGCCTCAGTGCTCAGAGCAGAACACAAACAAGGCCATGTAGATCCCCTTTGCCCCTGAGAACCGAGGCCCCTGATCATTTTGAGAAGCCTGCTTTGGTCTGCTTTGCTTCAGCCAAAAGGCAAGATCAAGGTGGCAACTTGAACTCATAGGTTGCTGAATGTCAGCAGATGTGTAACATACAATCATTAAAGAATGTTCAACCCAGTATGGCTGCTGCAGGGAACTTACAAACACAGATGTCATTAAAAAAATAAAATAAATGGGATGCTAAAGTTTGGATTTGGGTCATCTATTCCATTTTTCTTAAATTTAAAACCCCATTCCTAGTAGAATACACATTTGGAATTTGTTTGGGGAGAAGAGGGAACTTTATTTATTTTTTAGTGTTCTTTGGCTAAGAGTGAGACTGATGAAATCAACTCTAAAATGCCCTTTGGTTCAGGTATCGTTATCGTCCTCACATTAGATGACTTTCTTTATGTAAGATGGAATTGAAATAAAACTGAGAGTCTGGCAGTTCTGATGCAAGGCTTATGACGCTTAGGGGAAGCTGAGTCAAATGACCTATTGAGGGATGATAGCATAATCGTAGGTAGTTGTCTGGCTATTGGGTTTTCCTCTTGGGGAAAGTAAAAGCCCAGTTGCCCCATAGACGAATTCTCACTGTGAATTGTGATCCGAGATAGTTATCATAGTCTTATTTGTAATTCAAAATAATCTGGAAAACCATCTAAATGTTCATTGATTGGATATGGGTTAAAAAAAATATATGTGGTTTAACCATACAATAGAATATTATGCAGCTATTGGAAATATTATTATAGAAGCATATTTGGTGACATGGTAAAATATTTAGGATACAATAATAAGTGAGAAAAAGTAAGCGAACTATAATGGCATGACTTCCATTTTAAAATCACACAAACACACACATATGCACATATAACATATATATCTATGTCTGTGCATATCTATGGAAGGCATTTATTCAACAAGCATGGATTGCATACCTTTTACATGCCAGGTGTTGGCTAGCTGCTGAGGTTAGCGAGTTGAATAAGATTAATTCGGCCCCTGTGCTTCCTTATAGTTTAGCATGCACAGAAAAAGTCACAGTAGCAAATACATCAAATATTCGTAATAGTTTTATTCTGGTTGATGGGTAACTTAAATTTTCTTTTATGCACTTATGTATCTCTCATATTTTCTACTAAAAGTAAATGCCCTTTTCAAAAACAAAAAGATAACAAATGTTATTTTTTAAAATGAGCAGAGCTGAAAACCTGTCCTCTGGCATGAGACTCTGTCCCTGAAACTAATGAGTCAGTGCAACAAACTGAGATGACCAGGAGGATGTCACTAACCTGCTATATCTAAGGTCCCCAACCCCTGGGCTGCAGAGCTCTGCCATCCTCCTCCCCACCCCCCACCCCAATTCCATGGAAAAATTGTCTTCCATGAAACTTAGGAAAGAGGGGCACACAGTAGGAGGTGAGCAGCAGGTAAGTGGGCGAAACTTCATCTGTATTTACAGCCGCTCCCCATAGCTCAACTCACTGCCTGAGCTCCACCCCCGCCACCCCCACCCCCAGTCCATGGAAACATTGTCTTCCATGAAACTGGTCCCTGGTGCCTAGAGTTTGAGGACTGCTGTACTATATGACTGTAGACAAACGGCTTCCTCTCCAGGTCTTTCTTAGTTCTTCCCCTGTATGATGACAGCTCAGCCCGGGTGATGTCTAAGGCCCTTCCAGCTCCAAAGCTCAGGGAATCTCACAGTATCTGCAGAGACTTTGGATGAGGACAAGAATTTCCATAGAAGCAAATCTACAGGTCAGTGTATCACCTGCTCTTATAATTTTCCTAATTCACAATTTGGTTGTGGCTTCTTCTCTCACACACAAATATTATCTTTGAATTTATGTGCAAATCATCTTTTAAGCCTTCTAGACTCTTCCTTCTTCTCCATCTTCATTTTTTTTTCAGACTTGGGAGAAACCTGGGGAAAAAAATGATATCATCCATCTTCCCCTTGTCAATTTCTCAGCGTGCCTTAAAGCTAACGATTTTCCACCAGTTATTGAGAAGCTGCATCTGCCTAGTCTCACATCAGGTGCAACAGAGGAAAGAGTCAGGCATCGTTTCGACCCCAGCAGATCATGGAGTAGGGTGACTATAGTTAAACAAAAATGTATTGTACTTTGGTAATAAACACCCTCAATACCCTCATTTGATCAATATAAATTACATACATATAACAAAATTCCACATGGGCCCCATAAATTTGTACAAAAATTTGCATTTCAGATAAATAATAAATTTTTGGTATAAATATATCCAGTGAAATATTTAGCACACATGTATACTAAAAATATGCATTATTTATCTGACATCCAAATGTACCTGAATGTCTTATATTTTATCTGGCAACCCTAATTGGAGTGTGCTTATGTGAATGTGTATCAACACAAGAAACTCATCTGTGCAAAGTGGATGATTCAAATTATTTTCCCAATGTTTTGGACATTTTCTTTTTTATTTTTGAGACAGGGTCTTGCTTCGTCACCCAGGCAGGTATACAGTGGTGTGATCACAGCTCACTGCAGCCTTGAACTCCTGGGTTCAAGTGATCCTCCTGCCTCAGCCTCCCAAGTAGCTGAGACTACAGGTCCACACCACCATACCCAGCTAATTTTTTTTTTGTAAATATGGAGTCTTACTATGTTGCCCAGGCTGGTCTGGAACTCCTGGCCTCAAGCAAGCCTTTCACTTCAGCCTCCAAAAGTTCTGGGATTATAGGCATAAGCCACCATGCCCAGCCTGTCTTGGACATTTAGAGGCCTATACTGGCTTTGGCACTGAGTCTCTACTGGGTTACCTTGTGCAAGTAATTAATGAACTCTGCGCCTTCTTGTACCACTTACAATAAGATGATTTTCACATCGATCCATATATGTTCTAGGCTATTAGAATGAGAAAATCTGACATTGGGTAAGAAAAGGGAACCAAATCACTCCTGCCATCCCTCATATTGGAAAAGCTGGCTCCCTTCCTTTTAAATTTCCAGCCCATGGGATTCATTGCCACCTGCAAGTATTTTATCTTCTTTCTCTTTGAGAACAACTGGAGTCACTCGTTTCACTTGTCTTTGCATCTTACTTTTAGTGATGTGATTGTTTTTCCCTTCGTATCACTGTTCTGCCTTTCTCAAATTTCTTCTCAAGTGCAACTGACCCTATAATTCATCTTGGATGGCTGCCAGAGGGAAATAGAAAGTATTAATTCTCCAAGTCTGTGTTCTCTAAGCCCCCAAAAGCAAACTCGGATCAAGGGAAGGCACCATGGACAGACATCCTTAACAAGATGGAATCAGATCATTTTTCCCTGGTGGGAAATCACGTGTTTTCCTAACGCAAGGGTCATTTTATTTTCCTTTGCCACATGAAAACCTATGTAAAGACCAGGCCTTTTCCCTGTTCAATGAAGCACCAGTGTGGTGTTGGCACACAATCGTTTTTGTGCAATGATGGTGAAGGATTTAGAAATGTGTTTCTTCTGTTATTTATGTACTCATTCATAGGAAGTCAGTTCCCTTTGATCAAGAAGATCGGGCCTTCAGAAGAGGTAATTTGCTTCTGTTTGGTTGTTCACCCACTTAAACTCTGGAGCTTTGCACCAACCTCTCCTGGCCCTGGGCAGCTTGAGTGGCCTGGTGTGACCACTAATGCCATGGAGGGTGGCCAAAGAACAGAGACTCAGCAGAACTGCTACTTTGATGTGATTTGTTCAAAATCAATTCTGGATATAAACAAATTGTTTGCATATTACCTGTTCCTGGGTCAGGGTTACTTTGAAATAGTTCCAGGTGAACTCATCCCAAACTGCAACCTCTTCGGATCACAGCTCTTAAAAGAGAATTCATGGAATTCTAACTTGCTGTTTTGTTTGTCTTTGGAGGTGCATTAGGGCTGATGTTGGTATTTGGTTTAACTTCCCAGAAGTGAGTATATCCTTCTACTTTGCTCTGGCACAAGCTGTGTCTGGTATCCAAATCAGCTTCTCATATCCATTGTACAACATAATTCACTGGGCATCAGTTTGTGTGTTTTAATTCTGGAGTCAATCCATGGAATCCAAGTGACTCCTAAGAATAGAAATCACCACCCCTTGAGACCTTAGAAAAGCCCAACTTTCCCAGACAGACTCACTTCGAACCCACCTGAAGCTTGGGTCCAACATGCACAGGTATGGATAAGGTAGCTGCCTGAAGGGACATGGGCCATCTGGTTTTTGAGTCAGGCCTGTGACTTGGCAGGGCAGCAGGACCTGATTTGGCAAAGGTCATGTACTTCCTTTGTCTGTATTGAGGCCAAGTAGGAGAATTAAGAAGCATAAATTCTG